AATCAAAATAATGACTAAGTGAAAATAAACAAAGTGACAAAATAACAAATCTGGATAATCAAAATAACAATATATCAAACAAAAGCAACTTTTTATGGCAAAAAGAATAAAGCCCTGAATTCATTATAGTACAAAGATATAGAACTCTCGATTTTTTTTGGACACAAAAGATATAAAAATCACAAGATTTGAAGTAAATACCGTAAAGCACTCTGTATAGTATTCCCCCTTGTAAAAATTCAATTATTTTTCTGTAAATAATTAAATTAGATTCATTATGCGATTTTTAAAAAAATTTAGTTACTGGTTTAACAGTTGAGATAAATTGAGGTTTAAATTTTATACAAAGGGTGATACTATACAGAGTACTTTACGGTAAGATGTTATTGAGTGAGAGAAAAATATTATTATTAGAAAAAAATCAATATTTATTTTTATATTTCAACTTTTTTTGATTTAATATAAGAATAAAAAGCAAAAATAGCACTTTTATTTATATATTTTTGATATTTTAAACTAAATATTAAAGCTCTGTTTGGATCAGATTGGATCAGATTTGAGATCAATCTGAACTGATAATTTTGAATCAAATCAGATTTGATCCAAAGATCATAAAATAGTTTTTTGTTAATAACTTTTATTTTTACTGAGATACTTGTATTTTGTATTTAAGTAGAGTTGTTCAGAATATAATTGTATATATATTATTACATATTTTTCACTAATTAATGTGAATGAGAGTTAGAAAAGTGAATTAAACAATAAAAAAAGAAATAAGAAAAATATATCTAAGTTCTATATCAACTTCTATTAAAATTATATAATTTAAAGAATATAAATAAGAGAAAATAATATAAGTAATAATGGTACGAATTGGTCATTTTTTTGCTAATTGATTATTCAGTCATTCATAATCAAATAAAATTGATTTGATCTGGTTAAGTAAGGATGATCCGGTTAATTTAATTAATCGAATCATCTGGATGATCCGATTAGTTGTCAACTATTCAGATTATCCAGATAATCCGATTAGTTACATATCTGATTTAATTAATCGAATCATTCGGATGATCTGAGTAGTTGTATATCCAATTTAATTAATCGATCCACATTACTTGCATCACTGAACTGATCATTAATCACTTGATGTGTGATGCATTTTAAGATAATAATTTTTTAAATATTGTTTAAAAAATATTAAATTTTATTTTTTGGATAAAAATTAACTAAAAATTTATTCTTCAGATGGAAAGATATCAATAATATTCATATTTTTTTTTAAAAATATCATATTATGAAGAAGATTAGGATCTAAACGCGTACGATGAATAGAGATATGATTTTTGGCATCTGAAAAAAGTCGTTCGCTTGAAACAGAAGTTGCTGGAATATGAAGATATTTTTGAACAAGTCCAGATAATGTTGGAAATATTGTTTTTTTTCAGCCCACCATTTACATGGATCTTTGTTAGGTTTAGCAGGCTTTAAGTTAATATACTGATTAATTTCATCTTCAAAAACATTTTGTTCAAATATGTTTAAAAATATTTGGCTAAACAAAACATTTCTAGTTCTTCCACGATAATCTCTTCTTAAATCTAAATAAATATTATATTAGTAATAATTTAAAGTAATTATTATAAATAAATAATAAAAATAATTACCATTAGTATTATTACTATTTTCAACTTCATTTAAAGATAATAATATAGTGGACGAAGAAGTGTCAGATAAGTAATCAGATATGGAATTGATATAATTAGAAAATTGATATAGTTTATCTCGAATTAATTGAATAATTCGATTTTTTTCATCTCATACAAAAGCTAAATCTTTGAATCGTGAATCTAAAAATGCTACTTTTAAAGTGATATCAGATAGAATTCTCCAATATTGATGTAATGCTTGAACAATAATACTCTTAATACTTTCGATTACACTCTCTGTGATCATTGGCTGACTGATTTGTACATGATTTTGAGTTATAGGATTGATAACTTCTTCTTCATCATTTTCTTGTTGTTCAACAAATTCTTGTTCATCTTCATTATCTAATATGATCATATCTATAGCAAAATCTACAGCTTTTAATAATACTAATAAAGTTTCATCTTCAAATACTTTTTGTAATTCAGAAATGATAGAATGCATTAAACTAAGTGTCGCATAAATACTACCACTTAAAAAAGTGGTGGCTTCTTCAAATAATCCAAGTAAATTAACCAAATGTTCCATAAAGATCCATTCATCATCCATAAGATTAATTTTTTTAAGACGATGTCCATCTTTTCTTATTGTACTATCCTGATCTCGTGATAAATCAATTGCCAATTGTTCAATTGCATCTTTTAAATAAAGTAATCGATCCCATACTAAATATAATGAATTCCAATGAGTGCTTACATCACAAACTACACCTAAAATTTTTGGATAGTTTAAGAAAGTCTGGGTTGTTTGAAGTCTTTCTATTTGTTTGGGATATGTAAAAAACCAGTTTAAGCATTTGGTGCGAGAAATAAAAACCAAGACAGGTGCTAATCCTTTTCCAATTGTGAGCTGAAGTATATGTGCTGTACATGGTATTCGCGTAATATTATTTAAATATGATATAGCTTTAATTATATTTAATTCATTGTTAGTTACAATAGCAATCACTTTTTCCTGCAAGCTCCATTTTTCAATAATTAATTGAATCTTATCTCGAATATATTCAGCAGTATGTGGATATGGTAAATATTCCAACTCGAGCAAAATATCATAAATTTTAAAATCAGAATCCATAAATGATACAGTAATATCAATATATTCTTGTTTGATACGAGATATCCATAAATAAGGTTGCTTGCCGAAATTCCTTAGTGACTGTCTAAATTCTGTCGAAATTATAATAAACTATTAGTAAATA